CAAATGATGCCTTGTGCCACAACAATGCTAAATATAATGATTCCATGCGCACATTTCAATCTCAATGAGACGCTGAAAAGCGGCTATGGATTTATGGATGGGTGGTTTAGCATTTGAGCCATTAATTAAGAGCAAATTTTCCGATAAAGTATACTTTTAGCTTCTTTAATATTAGGATTTTGCACATCTGATTCTCTGAATGGCATATAAATAATTAATAAAATGAGCACGGAAAAGGAGATGAAGGGCAAGGGCTTCGAAGAATGACATTATCGAAATGAAATACGCATATTTTTATATGCCAGAGACTTAATCGGTTCTAGTTCATTAATTCCGACTACAAAAATCAACCTAATATCGCGTTGGGGATATATGCTTCGATAAAACTCCAGAAACACATTATATGCATCCATAATCAGTAAATTGTGAATTACGTACACACTAAGAGGCACTGCTGCAAATCAGGATGTACTTCCTGAATTGGTGATCGAATTAGGCGTCTGGCATTATAAATATGTAGATTCTTAAATGACACATTTTAAAAACGTAGTTTCTCTTGGAGCATTTCTAGAAGCATCGATTTTATTTAATGCAAAAATGGAATGATTTTCAAGCCGAATGCGCATTGATGACGATTCTAATTATTTTTACCCATGCAGCCATGAAATTTGGCAAATTTTTGTTTATACATAACATTTTTTTTCATGCCAAATTTTTGTCAGAATTCGACAAACTTGAAAGAGTTGTTGATTACAATGAAGACGACAAAAAACTGTGGGAATGAGTCAATCTCGTCAGAAATTGTTTTTTTTTTCGCAATAATAGAAAAAAATGAGAATGGAAATTATTGTAATTAATAATATTTGAAAACTGGAAGGTTGGTATTTTCTAAGATATTTTGATTCAATTTTACTGTCTGTTTATAGTCAATCTCCGGAAACAAAAACAAATTTGTTTTCCGCTAGACTGTAATAAATAAAAATATTTTCTTGCCAAAATAAATATGTCTAGGCGTTGGCAAGCCAAACATTTTCACAGTTTGCAGTTGGTCTTTTTTTTAATTAGTGGAGAGCTATCTTTCTAGCCTTTTACAAGAAAATAGAGAGATATGATTCAAAAAATTTCTCGAAAAGTCGCAAAAAATTAAAAACTATGACTTGGCTACATTATGAATATCGCATAATCTCAATATTGAAATAAATCAGACATTTCAATGCGCTTGGTCGAACATAGATAGAGCTTATGGCTAACTAAAATGCTTTTTTTGTTGTCTGGCGAAAAGATATTCCTTCAATAAACGTTAAGACAGAAAAAAATAATTTTAAATCTCGTCTAGCTTTTAAAATATGTAAAAAAAAACAAACATCGTTTTTTTTTAAATAAATTCATCCAACCAATCTTTGGAGTCTCAACAATCTGTCACACATATATGTATGAATTGCTAATTTCATCGAATTCGCACGGGTTGCTTGGTTCCACGCAGATCAGTGTCAATGAACAATACACGACAAAAAAGCGATGAAGATGGACAAAAAATGCGATCAAATTGAAGGGCGTCGTTCGAAAAAGACGGCTCACCGCGAATTGCTCATAAATGGAGAAAAAAGGAACGAATTTCGTCGGGGGTTTCCAACCCCCATTTTTCTTTTTTTCAGTTTCGAAAAAGAGCTTCTAATAAATGAGAGTGAGAATCAAGAGAAGCGGATTACGGTGGAATAATTGGTATTGTGATTGGTGAAGCAAAACCGAGAGAAATTTTTCATCGCTGAAGGAAATCATTTTTCCGAGCCCAAACCGGAATGAAAGAGGAATGATCCATATTGATATCATTCCATTTTTTCACCTCTTCTTTGTACCGCCTTCGCAGACTGGACGAACATTGTTGCATTGCTTTTTTCCTCTGGAAGGTCATCATAAAATTTATTTGCTTTGAAAAAACGCGATTCTCGGTAATGCAACAAGATAGGAACCAGAAGTTGAATCACGAGACGAATCAGACTACAATGTTATAAAATAGAATTTTTTTGATTCAAAAATATGTAGTCGTGCGCGTAATTGGAAATTTTCCAATCAGATTTGCCTAATGGATAGGAAATTTACAAATTTTTTTTCTGCAAGGGATCGAGTAATAAGAAGAAGAGAACCTAATTTTTTCCTGAACCTGTGATATTAGGCACGAATTGCAATATTCAATAAGAAAGATTTCATCTATTCGAGTAAGTACACAAAGCGAATATTCATCATACATATATAAAGCAATCTTTGAACTTCGGGAAATTCTTTTTATAACACAAAGTCCCGTGTACATAGATTGAACTTCATCTCTCTGGGCTGTTGCTGGTTTATCATATTACTTATAATTATATGCGTCACGTGCGTACATCAACCAGCAACCACAATTAAAGAAATAGAAAAACTTAGGCTCGCGATATAAGTTTTTGAATGTATTAATTCGATATGCCTATATATGATTCATACGGATATATTTGATAATTTGTTTCAGCACCAATAAATGAAAGCAGTTTGAGGAAAAATATAAAACGCGGCTTCATATACACGAACGCGAAACTACACACATTTTATGGTTTTATAGAAATTTTGGGGAAAATCTCCAAAAAAAAATTTGAAAAACTTATTTCTGCGCCATCTGGATAGGGTTTTTAAATTTTTAAAGTTAAAAAAAAGTTTTAAAACCGTGCTTTTCAGTATTTTTTTTTGCGAAATCGGCTTAATACTATTATTTTTAATAAAGTATTTTGAAATATATATTTCTTCGAGTGTTTCTTCGCATAAAATCTATTTATAAATCTTTCATGTAAGATTTTGATAGAAATTTGATATTTGCGAAATTTTTGAAAGTTGGCGGCCAATTCAAAACATTTTATGATTATGTTCCACAATTGTATACTTGAAAAAAATCATTTTTAGGTTGCTCGAAGTTCACTATATTGTTGAAATCATTCAACGTTTCTTGACCGAATGCACCTGCCTGCCATGATCTCATTAGAGATTCAGTGGAGCACCTGGGAATTACGTAGCCCTAATTTTTTTTCCACATACATCATATTAGAAGAGCACTTGAATGATCAAACAGTAAATTTAATAGTCAACTTTATGATGCATTTTGTTTGGGAAAATTTTTTTACGTGGATTTTTCTTTATCTTGAAAAAGCAATAAACGGAAACGATGAGCGGAAATTGAAGAAAAATATAGGAAACGCGTACCGGATACGACAAAATCGAAGCGATGTGATGATATTCGACTTCGCAACCAGGCGTGCTCTTATTTGATTCCGCTATATTAATAAAAAAAGTACATCTTTTGGAGGGGGGGGGGGAAAGGGGAGAAGCTTGGGGAATTGACATGAAAATACCTTTGTACTAAGAACTCTTGGGGTCCTGAAACGCCTTTTAGTTTAGCTCACAAATAAAATGAGTCATTTTGGCCGGAAAGTTCAAATTTTGTTGAATGTAATTTAATTACCAGAAAGTATAATTACTCTCAAAGTGTGAGAAAAAATTTTATATTAATTTTTAAATTAATTATCAATTATTTTTGGTTTCTCATTCAATGAAAAATTCTAGAAAACAGGCTTTTTAATTAGTGCAGCTACAAAATAAAGAAAAACCCAGAAAAACGTTAAATTCTTTATAGCATTCGATAAAATTTGAATAATGAGAAAGTCCACGTGATTCATAAAATAAAAATCATTTGTCAAAAGTAATAAATAATCTGGGAATGTGCTCACCAATTAAATGAATTTCACATCCTCAAGAAGACCGCCACAATTTAAATATCTCATTTTTATTGAGATCACAAAGGTCAAGTAGTTCGCGTGGGAGGAGAGGCATATTTTTGTAATTACGCCCCACTACGTCGTAACGTCAGTTATTGCGCTTTTGAATTTGCAAGAAAACGAAAAGCATATGTTTGCACTATTCGGATGGTCAAGCATTCATTATGAACCAAATCACGATTTGTCATCTCGAGAACAACTGCACATCTATTATGCTTGAGATCACAAGTCAATTTTAGCATATTCGCGATGATTTAACACAATTTGTTTCAAAACTCACAATTCTTCGAAACTGACTCATCAAAAGTACTAAATTTGAAACAAGCTATTGAAATCAACAAGCATGACTGGTCGACGTGTTTGGTGAGTTCAAAACATTTGAATGCTTCCCATAGATAAAATCCACACTCATAAGAGCCCACGCATTAATCAACTCCCGAGGCACACCAATCACATTCTTATTTCTTTTCTTCTTGTGTAGAAAGAAAGGATTCGTTGTCGTCTAAATTCTCATTGTACAGAAGAGAGATATAGTGGTGTTTCGTAGTTGGCGAATAACATGCATCTTGTTGTTCTGGCGCACATTTTCGCCCATTGGCGGTATTCATTGTTTTCAAGTCATTTTAAGGCTTAATTTCATTGATCTTTTGTCTTAACTATTTGAAAAAAATGCGGCCGAAATGAACTACTTATAAAGTGGTCGAAATGGTCGAAATATTGCGCTAACAATTTTGAATAAATCTAGATTATTCAAACAATCAACGTACTCATTGGTTGTGTTATTCCTAAAATAATGATAAATTTTATTGTCATATATAATTATATATCAAACAACAAAATCTCATAATAAATGTACAAGAACATTCATTATCTAATAAGCTTGAACGACTCATTGTCCCAGTCGACGACGATTGATAGCTTCAAACGTCGCATCGCATGAATCGTTTGAAATGTTGAATTTGAAATAATGGGATTGCCAAATAAAGTACCATGAAAAAAAAAGAGAAGTAATAAATTCATACGATCTGCTGTAACGTGTCTAATTCACTTTGATACATATGTATTTGGGATTCTAGCAATTACCAGTGTGAACGATAAGCGTAAAATGAAAATAAAACGTGTATTGGAGTTTTATGTTATAAAGCAGACGATATGCGTTGATCAAAAGAATATGGAATGGAAATACACATGCAATCGGCTCGTTTAGAAGGACGCTTTTCGAGGAAGAACAACTTTCTTGTTGCTTCGCGGTTGGGCGCTTCTTCTACGCGGAATTGGAAAATCGGAAACTGATAGGGTTTGCATCTCCATATTCGGCGGTGATGGCGATTCGCGAACGATCAAGTGCTCTTCTTCCTCGCCCTTCTTTTTCTGCACTAGTATTCGAATAACCGATGATTTTTTACGAATGGCTGAGTCTCTGAAAACGGCTAATCAATGAGAAAACAATTGTTGGGTTCAGAAGCTCATACATTTTGAAACTATTCGATTCCCGATGAATTTGCTCAACTATAGTTGACACGATCTGGTTGCCTTGATTGGTGTCAACGACAGTAGCCTTGAGTCTCTGAAGTCGTAAAATATGAGTAATTCGATTACGGTAGTAGAAATTATTTGAAATGAAAGCACTGAGAAATCCCATTACCTTTTCTATGATTTTTCTGTCAAGTTTGTGACGGTTTAACAAATCGTGTCAGCCTCAAAAAATTGAAAATTTGAAATTGAAGCTTTAATCTAATTAATGCAACATTCAAAGAAATTGATTGCATTGCATACATTGAAAAATTAAATGTACTTTGAAAAAAAAAACATGGGAAATTTGACTGTTATCAGAGCAACATTCGAAAAAAGTAGAAATTACAAAAAAGGATCAATGGGATTCTCGACGTCTTTCGTTTCGACATTTCCAACATTCATCGCGTAGCTTCGACAGTGCGAAATAATGTGCTCAGAGAGGCAATATAAATATAGAAGTTGCATGATGAATAGAAGTCATAAATATGCGTGAGTAGTTATACGATAGAATTGTTTTGGCCTGGTATCAACCCTTCACCAAACCGCATGCACATGGTTTCGTTCATTTTTATTCATGCAATTTGAAGTCTTGATGCTTGAATGAATCCCTAAATGTTTGAAATTCAATCAATTAGTTGTCGATCAAATACGATTGCAATAAGGTGCCTTGGCTCTATAAGGTGATCTTCACAGAAATCTCAAATTTTGCAGTTTTTCTTTGACATACGAATATTTAAGGTTTATCTTGAATTCGCTCATAACCCATCTGAAAACATGCGCAGCCATTCAGTGCCACTGAAGATGAAAAAGCGACGAAAACAAATGCTTTTGATATTGCGTGTTGCTGTAGCGATTTCATGCTTTCAAGTGTGTTGCTTTCGGAAAGAAATGGTTGTGGAATGTAATTGAAAATTTTTGCGAACATTCACGTGCATTATGCAGTAGGATCGGGGCGAATACCTGGGTCGCTGTCGAACCATACTTATTTGCTGTCATATTAGTCGTATGATTCAACAATGGAGATTGAGTGTCGCACTCAAGTTTGAGTCGATTCCGCAGCCAATTTGGCATCAAATTGATGAAAGCAGCGCGGAGTTGAAGGTTTAGAACAGCATAGAGAAGTGGATTCCAGACCTGGAACTACGTGATATTCATTCGTTTCTCACAATATCTGATTTACCGTTGACGTCATCGCAATGCAGTGTGTGGCAATTCCAAAGATGTACTCTTGATTTTTGATAAGTTCCGGAAGATAATCATAATCACGGAGAATGTTAAACGTCACCGACCAAATCCAACTAAATCAATTTTTTTTTTTCAGAAATTTTCAGAGAATTTGATAATGATCACCTTAATGCAAAAGCTACAACCATTCCAATAAGCATCCGATTGGTTCGTTGCCGTCGTTTAACGGCAATTCGCTGTTGCTCGCTGAGCTCAACCTCCCAATTGTCGGCCTTCTGCTTCTTAGCACCTTTTAGAATCATGCTCTAGAAGTTTTCAGAATTATCGGATTGTATTAGCCGCCTAAAACCTGTCCAATTCTTAACGATATTGCTGTATAGCAGATGATGATAATTGTTAGAGGGATAACAAGTTGTAGAAGAAGCAAAATGGCACCGTATAACTTCCGAATATGTGTCTCCTTTTCACCCCAGCTTTCTAAAAAAAAGTCATTCTAGGCGATTGGACGAAAAGGAACTAGAGAGCAAAATATTCACTATCTTCCCACTTCATCTATTAATTTGAAACGGAGATGTCAATGAGCTTACCAGTACAATATTCGCCGCAAAAATTAGCGAATTTGTCCAATTTCTGTTTGAACATTATCGGTGACGTGATTGTCGCGGCAAACACGCAAATTATCTGAAAAACCGGATTAAATTGCACAATAAGAAATCAACGGACTCCGATTATTGCGAGCGCTTGGTAATGCGATATTGGTTTTCGCATCGGGAATCGAATAAGGATATAGCGGTCGATTGAGATGGCGGTTAATGTGAACGTCGAAAAGCACAAGCTAATACCCTGAATGCTTTTTTTTAATTAAAAACCATTGGAATTCTCCATGAATCAAACCGCTATGAACGGGGCCACGCGGCACAATCCTTCGCCAAATATCCATTCCTTTTTGAATGCGGTTATCGGTGTGATTGTAGCAGACGTACAACACACAACAATATCTGAGCATGATAAGGAAATGATGAATAGGTTTGGAACGGTTTGAAGAGATCTAAATCAATTCAATAATGGTCCAATTGTGTCCAGCTAGTGCCGATTACTTGTTTCTCAATATAGCAAGGACGACGCACGTGTTTCCAATAAGACCGGCAGCAATGATGACCAAATATAGAAATGCGAATATTATCATAGTTGGCCACTGAAAATGACAAGGCTTTTGTTGAAAATTTCAGGCATTTCTTTTTGTTCTTCTAACCCTTGATGAGAGATCCGCACGGAAATCCCAAAGCTCTTCGTTCAGATTTAAGCATTCCGTGCTGTTCTCCATTCTGAAATTTTTCAGGTAAAATTAAATAAGATAATAATGTGTGAATGAAATATTAACTGGATAATAACACGTCTATACAACTTTGCTCAAAATTAATTATACATTTCTTGTCAGGTGCGCGCATCGCGCACAGAAAAACAGACAGCAAGTTAGAGAAACAGTTAATTAGCTACCGATGTATAGAAGCAGCAGCAAACTAAGTAAAAAAAAATGAAAAAAAATGCAAAGGAGAGGAGACGGGGGAAAATTGCACGTTCGAAAAAAAAGACTCGACCATGAAAACGGAGCCGAAGGTGGATAAACGAAGAACCTTCAAACAAATTTGCTTGTCTGGTTCACTAAACTCTGTTTCAAGAATTTGCCAACAAGACCTTATAATTTTCATTTTATTAAGTAAACACTGAATGAAACTTATTGGCGGGGCACGTAAACCGACAATAATGCAATTTTCGCGGAATAATAGGGTGCCTAATATTTGATCGTATTCAAGAGTTCGATGAGTCAGAAAGTAAGGGAAGTTGAAAAAAGAAATATTTTTTTTTCGAAACAATATTTTTTTTAGATAGCTTCTCATAGATCAAGATGTCGCGCTAAATTTAAAACAAGTTTAGCAAATGATCTCTTGAACGAAAAAGCGTTGGAAAAAAAGGTACGTCGGACTCTAATTCGCAAAAAAAAACAGCCCCCAAGAAATGAAAGTGATGGGCGCCTTAATCATTCGACTAATTCGAATTCAATAAATTCTTCATTTCCTTTCTAGAAGATGAAGGTGTTTCGGCGGATTTTGAAACATGACGTTTGACAAAAAATAAATGAATTAATTTTTTTTTGAATTCACTTAGTTTCACTATAGATTTTCTCACAAAAACTTGTTTATCAAAAAGCTGTCGAGAATATAATTATGTCTACGAGTCAAAAACTAATGGGCAAGTTTGCTAAACTGCGCCTGAAGCTTGGAAATGCCATTGCCCTAATTAGGTTGTTAAAATGTTCGGGTGCCGTTGAAAAGGAAATAAAAATATCAAACATATTCTCGGATTGAAACATCGATTTTGTAAGAATGTAAGAAAAAAAAACATTGGGGAAATATTATTAGCCCATTTAACTTAAAAAATATTTTTTTCTGAATTTTCCAAACTGATTTTGTCTTTGAAAAGTTGTTTTCATGGTCAAAATTTTCTAAAAAAAAATTTATTTTTAAGCAAATATTTCCTCTTTCAAAAGACTCATTAATTTTTCATATGAGTTTCATACATGTCAGCTAGCCATTATGAGAATGACAGATAGGTGAATATTTTGAACTCAAACGAAAAAAAAATTACGTAATAATTTCATTTCAGTATTAATCGTCAAGGTAGAATACTACCTGTATAAATAATAATTTTCAACGAGCATTCGACAAAAAATTATGGGGAAGCAACTATAAAATTTAATGTGATACCGCTTGAAACCCATAAATAATAATGCGGTTAAGGGCAAATCATTTTCAAGTAGTAATTTTGACATCGTGACAATTATCTATCCGTGAAAATAATTGGTTCATGTTTGATCTCTTAGAATATGCAAGCTACTGAAGAAACTGGGTTGAACCGCGACAACTCAAATTGTGTTGCAATTATCTTAATTAATTTACTCACATGTCAATATCATGAGATAACCTACATTGGGAAAATTTGAGGAAAACGATCAAACAAATGATGTCGGTTTCAACTACATTTAAGGGGGGGGGTTGTTTTTAAACGATTCCACGATTCTACGAGATTGCTAACGAATGAATACAATTCATAGAGAATATTTAAGTCACGCCACAAAATTTTAAGAAAATTTAAAAATGTTGTTGAAAACGGCCTTTTTTTATGTTATCGAACTGCTAAATAATGTTTTTTTTTTGGCCGATTCATCTCTTGATTATCTTAAGGAAGATATTATGTAGTATTATCGTAATTAATGAGAATTTGATAACTGAACAAGTCAATGTTTAAATATGTTGTTTCAAACACCTCAATGATTAACACCAAAGAACTACGGGAAGTGACCAAAACGTAGTTATCGCATACAGAATATTTAACATTCAATATGTAATGTTGACCTGTTGAATGCGAACTCTGACAGAATGGTAAGAGATTGTTCGATTTTTGATCGTCGAAAGTGTTGCGTTTTAAAACGGAATGTTGAGTGACTTGATAATAGGTATATTTTATATATGTGTATGAACAGCTCAAATGTCGATAAATACTAGCAGCAACTACTAATAAGAAGAATAATCCCTATATGACTTCCAGGTTTGTTATGCTGGAATACGTTAAAGCGAATGAAATATTAACTATGTGAATAATACCTCCTTTTATGACATACGTATCGTGTCATCATCATCATCCCACCATGATGACAGGATTAAAACTGATCCGCGTGTAGGAGCGGATTTAAGAAGCAAAACATCCATCTGTGTCTCGAGGAAATCATGATAATAGCACATTTTCGGTGCGATATCCGACAGGAAAAAAACGTGAGGAAATGCGCGAAAAAAATATCAACTTGAAAGAATTAAGTTTCATCCACTTCAAGTTTGCCGGTAGTTTCTCAAGAGCCCACTAGTGAAACTTTGATTAACATTAGCGTGCATTTTTTTTGGTAATTCTTCAACTCAAAAATCATGTATTTGTTGATATTATTTGGATTATTATTATTAGTATTCTAATGAGTGGCAGGTGTGTAAGGTTGGCATGGAAAACAAAACACTTTTTACATGCATGCATATATAAGACATTAGTCACTTTTTGATTCAGTTAACCAAACTAAGGCAATATAAATAAGGAGGAAATTGGCATGCTTATTTGAGAGAGGAAATTCGCTGCAATCCTTTTATGTCAAGGTTCAATTTGTCCGTGAACAGAAATCGGATACATCGAAATTAAAGAAACGACTTTAGGGGAATATATAGAGCCCGATGTTAAAAACCCTGTGTTTTTACCCACCGAAAAACTAACAAGGAGCAACCTCATACAAAAACTTCTGCCATTAATTGTGACAACGGAATACGTAAATATATTCCAGGTGGAAATTTTGTCGGGTTTTCACGAAAAAACAAGAAGTCGAAACTATAGAAGTGCCTTAAATGCAATTGGCGCGAATAAAAACACCTGGAAATCTTATTTTTGGCCAAAAAAAAATAACCGCGTCGTGTTTGTGGGTGTTTTCAATCAAATCAAAAGTAACCTAATTTTCTGCAAAATACGTTCTACGAATTTTTTTTTGCTAAAAACATAAAGTAGTTCCATGAATGACTTTTACATGAATAACATCAATTATAAGAGTTCGATCAATTCGTACGTGACAATAATTAAAAGAGAAAATATTTTCATCCTGTTTTAGAAGCATTTCAACTCTATGCTTAATGAATAATTTGTAAGGAAAGAATGCTAAAAAGGAATGGGAAGAAATTTGAGACTAATAATTGTAATGCCGAACATGAGCTGAAAAAAAAAACGAAAGTTATTTAAAGGATTCCATATTTTATAAAGAAAGTGTTCAAAAGATTAACAGAATAAAAAATTTCCTTATTTGTCAATCTAGGTGGGCTGAAATCGCCTCCTACGTTTTTTCCATAATTTCTAAAAATTGTGACGTTTCTATGCAGGCCATCAGCATAATTCGAAAAATTTCAACTACTTCTAATTGTATGTTGAAATCTCAAGAGTACGGCTTCTTCATGTTTTTCAAATTTGCTATTTTAAACTCACCTCTGAGAATCACGAACGGACCTCTGAGACCAAGTGAACCAAAATCTTCTAGTGATATCTTCTACATATCTGCTCAAGAAAATATTCTATATCAGCGAATTTCCGTTTCTAATATTTCCTCTCGTATAAATTATTTCGTCGATATAAAAAATATGAGCATATTTAGTATCAAAACATATTATATTATAGCCCTATCGTACTTGAGATTCCGAGGTTTTTGTAAAAAAGGGATAATTGAAAAAGGCAAATTTTATTTCATTCACAATATTTTAATGATAAAATGGTTTTAAAAATATAAAAACAAGATATGGTCGTATTAGCGGTTGCAGCTTATTAATTAATGCGAATTTCCTAATATCTACCGTAATAAATTTAAAACTGACTCATAGGAAATAATGTTATTAATACTTCCAGTTTCGTATTCCTTTTGCTATTGTCCAAATTAGCGTTGCAAAAAAGCAGCAGGGATTCTTGGTGCGGTCTTGAGGTCTGTAGGTGCCCGTGTTTGAATTAGCGCCACCGCAATCGAAATTTTAAATGTTCGCAGACATTTAAAATAAAAAAATACTTTTAAAAAGATTGAAGAAAACAATGCCCCCCCTTTTGACAACCCATACTCAGATTAAACTTTGAGTTGGTCTTTTAAACCATTCATCTAGGTTCGAGTAAAGAGCGAGCAATGAACAAGAAAGTGAAGAAATAATAGTAGTTTCATTGAATTAACTATATTATGAGCGTTGGTCTTTTTTTGAGTCAGAATTTTGATGCAAACACTAAATAAGGGATTAGTTTAATAATTGTACAGTTCATTAACTTGTTGACCTACGCTGAAAAATAATTATATTTTATAAATCTCATTGAATAAAAGAAACTAACAAAACTAGTTCGATGCATTGTAATTTCACAAAAATAATGTGCCGTTCTTAATGGGATTACTGTAGAAATGCTTGTCTTCGTAGCTGTGGCAATACTGCGCCGCAACCGCAACGCATGCCCCATTCAGTTCTTTATGACACTTCATAAATATCGCATTTTGGTCAGAAACTTACTACATTTTAAAGTTTAATTGTTTTTGCATGCGTAATGACTTAGAAGTACACATTTGTTAGTCGAATATGATATCCAAGATTGTAGTTGAATGTTTAAAAGAAGTTTAGTTTAAAAATTGTAAAATTTCTATACTATTAAGAATATACACGATAAATACTATTTAAACTAATAAAAATGGTGTCCCGGAACATAATGGCTGTCACAAAAACA